ACTTGTTTTCTCAAGCAAAATATATTCCTTTTTGGATATACCGGATGAAGACATGATCAAAAGCAAAGTTAGATAGCCTAGTCAAAACTGGCTAGCCATCTACAATGATATGCTCAATGCACTCTTGTAGACTTTTCTTATTCTCCTCTGTAACTTTATGAAGAAACAGATTTTCGCCTGGGATGAAATAACTTTGACAATTTCCCTTCTCCACACATTGGAGTAGTCTGTGAAGCACATTGAAAACCCATTCTATCAAATTGGCTGGGACCTAATTTTCTGGATAGGTCCGTTCTGTCGTCCAGAACATTATGGTCTTTAGATAATAGGTGCTGATAGTATCGTTCTCAAAATGCGGCGTCACATTTTCAGATATTACTCTTTTTACCAGAGCATAACATTTCGCTTGCGTAGTATTGAATGAATGGACAAGCCGTTTCTCGGCTTCGTTGAAAGAATATCTCCATTGTAGATCTTCATTTCTGTGACCTTTACAGCCAACTGGGGCAAAATATATTCCTTTGGCTACTATTTCTTTGATTTGCTTTTATGTGGGCCAGCCATACGGCCTTCTCCTTGTGATCCACTCAGATGCCAAAGAAGGCCACTTTTGGCAGCGAATTAGAAACACATAATCAGGCTTAAATACTCCCATTGGAATTATTATTTCGAAATTAAATGAAAATAATTTGCTGGCCTTTTTTGTTCTATTTGTCCATAATGCACTTCGCCACAAAAATCACGAAATTGAGACAGCTGGACATCATTGATCGCATATTTTTTCATATACTCTTTTATCTCCGAGCATGAAAGATACCGGAGTCCACTTATTTCTGAAGTCATTGGAAATAAAAAGTTTGGAAAACCATACCATGGAGGCTCTTGATCTGACGGAGGTAATATAATCCTGGTATAGACTGTTCGTTCTCAATGAGGTATATGCCATTTTGAGTCTGATACGAAACTGCACAATCTATCCTCTCCACTGCTACACTAGTTCTAGAAATCCATACGATGTCAATGTCTTTTTCATAACTACCATTTAAAGGATAGTTAATTCCCTCACCATTGTTTTTAACATAACAGGTGACTGGATTGTTGCACATGAAGAATATATTGTGTCTGCAATTTTAAATATTGTAGTTAAAACTTGTATTGTACTGTCAAACTGATCTGCACGCATTTTCATATCAAATTTGGTACTTAATAACTTCAACTTATTCTGCTCTAGCAAGCACCTTGCCATTTTTTACGTTGTCTAGGACCATATTACAAACCACTGACCTCTGTTATTTTATATTCAGCCATTTCGAGCTGAAAAACAAAATCTCCTGACCAGATTATGGTCATAGTTTTCTACAATAACTTGCAGGCATATTAAAAAGTTTCAAGTGAAACAAAATATTATGCACTTAATAAGATCTAATACCACCTTGTTAAACTATCATAATTGAAGCCAATATTGAAGATTAAACTGTAATAATAAATAATAAAATAATCAATAAAATAATAATTAATCAAATAATCAATAATAAATTGACCTACATCCTACAAATTGTCTGTACTCATCAGTCCTCATTTTCACATCTAGAAATTCTTAAATATCTACAGCAGAGGATACTTGATCTGGATTAACACGTTTGCCTAACGATTGCAACACAAGAATATAAGATACCTCAGCGATATTTTTGTTGCCTCCACCCTGGTCGGATTAAAATCTCTCGCAGCCGCTGTTGCCCCATCACCTCCATCAGTCGTTTTTTCGCCTAATGCCATGACATTCGTGTCTGTGTCCACATCCTTGTATTCTATGCCGACATGCTTGAAAAATGTTATTTTATCGATATTAGAACAAAAGTTGCTATTGCCTCGAAAGTTGTCCATACATGCGTGATCTTTTTTATACTCTTCGTCATCCTCTTTATGTCCAAATTTTCGTCTTCTGACTTATACTGTTTTTGCAATATTGGTCCACCACATCGAGATGCTGCCTGTAGAGTTTTCTCTGAAGGATCTCCTCCATCGTTTTACTGTACCTCGCCGTTTCTTGATCATTACAAAATATCTCTCGATGGCCTCCCACAGCTGCAGGTCCCGCATCTCCATTACAAGGACAAGCGATATGGATTGAGGTTCCTCGCAGAGAATGTAATGAGCTTTATGTAAATCTTCAGCTGAATCTCACAAGCTGTTAATAACACCATTCAAGGCAACTTCCTCGACAAAAGAAAAAAAGAGGGAAGACAGAAGTAAAAATGTCACCCTCGGTTCCAATTACTGCTGCTCGTCGGATACGTCAGTCTCCAAATCACAAGAAACAATGTGGACAGCATCAGTGGACAGTGAGTGACTTACTGAGGAGCCATTATGGTGAGCCTTTTATCCAACATTTACCACAAACCTGCCCATGCTGCAAATTAGGAAGGAATTAAAAGAAATCGTATCATGTTACCAAAACTAAACTTAAAAGTATGCGTTTACGATAGTTACAAGAACAATCGTTCATCACGTTACACAAACCCATTTGACGAAAATCGTCCAGAAAGTTAAACGAAAGTGGATGGCGTTGATCATCAGCGGCAAACGGATTTAATACATATCTCTCTTCGGGCAACGTATAGTCGCGGTTAAAATTATTGGTTTTGTCAATGTACGTATTTTTTTAGATCCGTTTGGGTCGCTCCTTTGACTTTTACGACAATCTCAGAGTTAACACGAACTTTCGTTGTGTGTATTTCAGGATTGTTTCAGATTTATCTCCTTTATTATTATTGCCGACCACAATGTACCTGTACTTGTAAATGTATGACTGTTAATCAAGAAACCGAGTTGACTAGAAGAAGACCAATACGGTAGGTCCCATTGCATGGTATCGTGATATTAGTCAAGTGCATTGAATGCAAGGCCCAAAGTATATGATAACGGTAACCCTCGTTGCATCTTAATTAGTCTTCAAACAACAAAATAATTAAAATGCAAATAGCTCAATATTGTTTCAATACCGAGGTCCATCGCGGATAAATACAATATCAGATTGATTATTTTAGCTTATATAAAAAAACATTTTGCTCTAAATAGATTTTCCTTCAAAATTTAAATGGCGGGATTTTTAAAATAATTTATAACTTGTAGTTTTAAGCATACACAGAATAAATAAAAAATATATCCTGATGTATAAAATCGTTTATTTATTCACCGCTATTTGTGTGTGTGTGTGTGTGTGTGTGTGTGTGCCGACAATTATGTGAAATTATTTTTCTTATGAGACAATATATGAAACATATCGCAATTATGTGAAATTATTTTTCTTATGAGACAATATATGAAACATCTTAGATTGATATCACGGCAGAATCTTTTTTTTGTATTGTCATTGGGAGAAATGGCATATCAGATATACCTAAATGTGATATATTAGGGTAGATTTGAATATGCTAAACCTACATCCCTGTTTACTACTTTCATCAGTATTTATTTCTGTCTAATTCCCAACAGTTCATGTCGATGACTCGGAATATGTTTCTTTGCTATGGTTTGTGTGTCTAAGAGCGGTGACTGGCACTAAATGTATCTGGCCTTCAAGGTTTCAGATATACGACTGAAGAACGCTCATAAAGGGTTATATACCACAAATTATCATCCTGTTCTCGCGAGATAGATTATGTGGTCTCTTAACACTCGAATAACGCAATAAGAATACAATTTGTCATGTATGAAGAACCCTTATCTACTTTTACTATGAAATAAATCTAATAACTAAACAATTTTTATTCTTACTAGACCAAATGACCTTGGCCATAGCCAATCGTTTTCGTGTAGCTCTTACACTACCGCGGACCAAGGTGAATTACAATATTGCTAATTGCAATCTGTAAAAGCATGCGCCTTAGACCACCGAGAAACCAGGGGGCGGCAGACAGGTAGGAAATTTAGGTTTAGCAGGGTCAAATCTGCCGGAACATATCCGATTTTTTTTTCTTAAACATCAGATACGATCTGAGAATATACAAGGTAACTTTAGACATGCATACCGGACAGGAAAATTTAAATGACGTGGAGGTGATGACAGGGTCCGTCTTTCCAGGTGGCATAATGGTCTAAAAAATTTGTTTAGTATAAACTTGACTTATATCAGACGTAACACAATGTGATATATTTGGGCAGATTTAAATTTGCCAAACTTACATTTTCTTCCTGTCAACCGTTTGTAGCAATATTTATTTGGATTATCTATATCCTGGTGTGTATGTTGGTGGATGGGGAAGGGGAGGGGGACATGCAATAAATATAAGCAACTCTATTTTACGTTTGATGATTTAAAGAATGAAACAGAACTGTTATTGTGACAAAAAATGCAACTAACACATGTTAGTAACCAAACACACACACACACACACACACACACACACACACACACACACACACACACACACACAAACACACCCTAACTCGTAATGGTCACTTTTCTTTATTAAAAAAGGCCGAGTATAGGAATTTACAAGTTTTTCTCTGAGGATAGAGAAACATTGCTGTCATTTTTCTATTAAAGTAATTTTATCTACTTAACCAATATAATATTAGAAAAACTAGATCCATTATTTAACAACTTTAATATTTGGTATAAACGGATTAATTTCATCATGAAAAAATGATATCCTAATGCAAACAGTTTTATACAAATAAGATAATATTTGCCTGTTTGAATCATCTTTTGGAATAATGTTGCTATCAAGAAATAAATCAACTTAGATGTGTGTGTGTGTGTGTGTGTGTGTGTGTGTGTGTGTTGGGCTTTTACGTAGCTTTGACAACAATATTAGTCATATCTCCACGATGTCTGGAGTGTAGTAATTTATAGTCATGTCTAGCACTGGAACATCATCAGGCATCACCCAGTCACATTATCCTGTCACCCGGCTGACCAGACCCAACACTAACCCCCCTCCAACGCTGAGCGCTTAGTAAGGCAGCTATTAGTATCATTTTTATACGTCTGTGGTATCACACGGCCGGGGTTCGAACACGCAACCTCCAACTTCCGAGGCGGACGCTCTGACCACTAGACCACCCGAGCCGTGATAAATATTAATTAAATATTAGCAGAAACTGGAACATTAACTTTTTGCTCTAGCACATTTGTTTGATATAAATAGAACATCGATGCACTTCATTTCGTGTTTTTGCGGTTTGTAACATCATCATCATTTTACTTTAAAACAGTAAAGACTAATACCTATGTCAACAGCAAGACTGATGTATGATGTATCCGTATAGAAGATTCATATAGAGAAAAATCAGTAAAATCTGACATACGGCCAATTACAATCAAACGCGAACCTAACCCTTTAAATTGCTCCTATACTACCAGTTGTCAACGTATTGATTGCAGTACGTAAATTAATACAGCTTGTACTTAAATAATGCTGATTTCAATGTAACTTTCAAAAATAGGTATTTTACCTGTACCTCTCTTGGCGTCATGTATTTTCAAAATACTGACCAAAATATTTCATTATCTTCCCGTCCTTATCCTTCCTTATCCTTCATACATCTAACTTTATGTGTACCTTAAATGCCTTGCAGTTGGAAATGATTTAACAATTAAGTCGTATTCCGTTTTTAGCCTTGAGACTGATCATTTGTTTTCGAATAAAAGGATTGTTTGTACCACCGGTTGAAACATGATAATGCGTTCTCAAACTATTGTCAACACCGGATAAGCATGATTCATCTATGGTGGTTGTATCGTAGGAAAAGTTTTGTTAGGTTTTAATTGTATACTTGAACTTTGAACATACTGGACGCAACTATCAATACATGATATCATTTGTGAAACTTTTGTCTTACAGTGTATTGCTTTTCAGGAAACTTACTTAAGCAAGCAACCATTCACACATCATATGAAATGTTTTAGTTTATATTCTAAATTTACATACATGTACAAGTACTTACACATAAACACAAAAATGTACATATGCACAGGCATATGTCTGTCTGTCTGTCTGACCCTCTCTCTCTCTCTCTCTCTCTCTCTCTCTCTCTGTATATATATATATATATATATATATATATATATATATATATATATATATATACAGAGAGAGAGAGAGAGAGAGAGAGAGAGAGAGAGAGAGAGAGAGAGAGAGAGAGAGAGAGGGGGGATTAAGGAAATTCAATATTGCAGGGCACTTGAAAAATACGCAAATTCTTATATTGAAATTGTTCATATATCTTACTTTGGGTATAGTGGGCATTAAATGAAATGTTGTGTTAAATGTGTCGAAATTAAATGTTGTGTGCTATTCCATTTGAACTAAGCACTATACAGATATCGTTATTTCTCAAAAACTTTTTATTTTGAATATACTTAAATAACACAATTATCCCTACAGTGTTATTTTCTTGTTTTAGCTGACACGTATTGTTATTTACATACCAGTCTGCATGAAATAATTCTTATTGTTATTCACTATCAAATCACTTATTAATTTCAGTTTATTGAGGATCTCTTTCGATGACGATGATTGTTAATAGTAATGGCTATTTGTAAAAATTTCTTTTCGTTTTATTTTTAAAAATTATCTCATTATAATAAGGAGTAGAAATGTAGACAATTTTGTATATTTTGGGGTAATCAACAAAGAAAAATATATCATTACGCATACAAGTGTTTACATGTTAATCTTTTACGAACATAATATAAACATATGTTTGAAAAAAGATTTACTTGGCAATGATATAATTAAAATAAGATACACATCAGACATTGACATTAACATTGACATTGACATTGACATGACATTAACAATAGCATTGACATGGACATTAACATTACAATTAACATTAGCATTGACATTGACATTACCATTGACATTAACATTAACATTAACATTGACATTGACATTGTTATTATGATAGGATTTGTCTGATGTTGTTTTTAGACGTTTCTATCATAACCTTCTTCTCGTGTCTAATTACGAGAAGGCAGAAAGTTCAGCATTCATAAGAATAAGGTGTCACATATGATGGTGTAGATACGGTTACATCTTTTTGTGGGGAATGCTTGGCTGCGAAGAGGTGGGATCGCTGTAAGAAATAGACATAATACTCTTGAGCATGGACCCGCACTTTATTGACATATATATAGATACATATTCTAAAGATACAACATGTAAATTTATTTATGTTGAAAATACATACAATACATATTACAATACTTATTAAATAGTTCTTCCACAATCTAGTATTTCATTTGTCCATTCATTTTTCTGTATTTTTGAATACAAGTGATTTAAGTATTTAAAGAGCCTAAAATTCAATAACTGTAATAAATGTATTTTATTTTATTTATTGTAAGGTAAAGACCTGAAAAAGATCTGTGAATGTTGTACTTATTATTTAAAGAATATATATTTATTCTCAATTAAATTATAACATGAAGCTAGTAATTATTTCAAACAAATACTAATGAACAGCGAAGCTGTAAAATATTTAAATTACATTATGATTGTGGAAGAAGGGAACTCAATAATATTATATTATAAATACAATGTACATCAATTCAGTAAAATATTAAATCAGTAAAATATTTCATAGTAGAAAAGAGAACTCACTATTACATTATATTAATGAAATAAAAATAATTCAGAAGAGTACCACAACTCACTATAAAATCTTCCAAAAGCGAGTATAAAGCATAAGTTTCTTACCTGTAAGAAATAGACATAATACTCTTGAGCATGGACCCTCACTGAGAATAAAACAGCTCAAAGCCTTTTTATATTCTGGAAGCTGTTTAATCACAAGTGCTATATCCAATCTCAAAAGATATTTGTCTAAAATGACGCGTGCTTCTCGCGTGCTTTCCAAGGACAGGTTTAACTTTATATCAAGTTTTAGTGGGGGGGTAGAGTGTGAGTGTGGACGGTATTTTTCCAAGTAACGACCTTTTGGATCATGTCCATAACCTTCCAGTGGTCATTCACATTGTAAACCTAATTAATTTAATTATTCCCTATGGTGATTATCAATTACTTTGTTCCCAACTTCACAACGAAATCTAATAAGGTTTTATTGATTGAATGGTGCAATAAAACATCATTTGACTTCTATCCGATTGAACTGGCTTATTAATTAGGCTTTTTCCATTACCAAGTGAAAGCTGAACAATAATAAATGCTTAATCTAAATTCATTTCAATGTCCTTATTATATTCAGGATATGAATTATTGATTGGAGCACGCTTCTCTTACACTCCAATCAATATCAAAGCACTAGCTTAAATTTGGATGTTTTTATCTTCCAATAACTAGAGATTTCAATATGTTGTACACAAATTAATATTTTCGTTTCTTTCATTTAGAATTGAGATCTTGATATTGTTATTAACATTAACATTAACAATAACATCAACATTGACATTGACAATGTAATGTCAGGGAACATCTCAAAATAATCAGCTTTGACCATAAACAGATTTACGGAAAACTTTGTACCCTCGCCAGCCTAGTACTTATCTTTCCGTTACGCAAAAATGTAGGGAAAACTTAGCAGAAAAACTCATGTATTTCTCATTAGTGAAACTATATTGACGTATGAAAGTCGTACGTAAAATAAAATAATCTTTGGCGTACGTTGTTTTATGAAGCGGTGCCAATAATTGATTTGACAGCCATGCCATTGGCTCTCCTCAAGTATAGGGAGGCTAATTATAGTTTGTTGACCTGTCATTAAGTATGTCAATTGTCCGAATAAGATTTGCCATTTTCAAGCACCGATTAGACTTGCGTTCATAAGAAAACCATTTATTGCGCATGCAAAATATGAATTTTACATACTTATCACGAGAATTTGAAACTCAAGTTCAAAATATTAACAAGATTAAAAATAACTTCTAAGATATTTTCCCTCAACATTAATATATATTTCTTATATCCAATTCCAGTTTGTATAACATTTCCATGTGTTGAAATACCCTAACATAATACAACTGGTCATATCTGGTCATGCTAAATGATACGCAATTAGCTGCGTAGGTGCTACGCTAGGTTGAATGATACGCCTAAAAGGTTTATAAATTTTGAATCTGGGTTTTTTTGCTGATTATTCCTATTGATCCATCAGTTTGCATTATGAGGAAGTATAAACAAATCGACATTTGACAGCATTTAACAATTTAAATCACAAACTTCCTTCAAAACTAGGACCAAGGACTTTAACTTTCAATATTAATGTTGAGATTTGAACTAGGATCAATTATGACTGGTTTGTAACACGCTCAATGCAATTGTATGTACTCTTTTAACTAAGATGCCAATGGCATATCCATAACTGTTTATGTTTAGTATAGTTCCCCTAACTCAACGACTGTGAAATTTGGGTCCACGGGTTTGATAGCTAAAATCTAAATTCTGTGTTCGCACTACTCAATTATATTAAAGTATTAAATGCATTACAATCGTTTCCTGTGGCAACATTTTAAAAGCAAAAATATGTCATGTAACCAGGCATTTAACTTATAAAACCCTTTTTCGTTCCGTTAGTCGTTTGATTATGAAAAATCAAGTAAATTTAAATTAATAAAGTTGTGTATCACAAGATCAAATATTTATAATTTCTACTTCTTCTTGCAATAATAATCGATACTATTTTGTTTTGGCAAAAATTTATCCCTCAACACCATTGCTGATTTGGTTGCGTTGTCCATTTTTTTAGATGTTTTGTTTTATGTCTAAAAGTGTATTGGGCGACGAGAGTTAGTTGTCTTCCCTATACATAGAAAACAGCAAACCGGCTCGATCTGGTAACCGAACCCTGTATCTGTGTCTGGTCATTGATCTACCACGCCTCTCCTGATTACAAAAATAATAAATGTCGTTTTCCTCTTTGAGTGATCATCCACGTGAGTTGCATTTATTTCTTTCATATTACCATAAAAATTATTTTTAAAATGGTCATTTTAAAAATGCAATGGCTCTGTTAATGAATACTTAACGTGGCTTCCTATGTCATGCAAACCCTAACACGTACCTATGGTTTGCGGACCATTTAAATATGCGCATCACGTGGACCTTGTTAAA